GTTGCTCCCACCCAAATGCGGACTTTACATGTTTACGAAATATTTTTTTTAATTAATTTCTTCGACATGCCAGTCTCCTTATGATGTTTTACCTTACCGCTGAGCACATAGTAAAACGGCACTTTAAATTACAAATAACAATTTAATTGGTGCCGCTGGCGGGGATCGAACCCGGGTTGCTCGAGTAGGTATCACGATATTTACGGCAAGTACTAAGCCCCAAAGTTACCACGGCTCTGGAATCACTAGGAACAAAAATGTTTTTAATAGAAAGGTGAGAAACGTTTTTAGAATCGTTCTAAAGTGAGTAGTGAATAATCATTGAAAGCTACCGTTTACACATTTCTAGTTCTACAGATGTCTCCTTTTCACAATAAAGACTAATGGCTCGCTTTAGTACGATTCTCGTATTTCTATCTAATAGAACAGCTTTTTGTTCTTGTTTTAAGCACTTGCAGACGAGTGCTACTTATGTACTCTCCTAAAGCACTAAGATAACGTCAACCGGACCTAAGACAAAATGTGAGATTATATTGCGTCCAATTAAAATTTTTTTTTGTAAATTTAAATATTAAATGTATTTAGGGCGCTAACCGTGCCGCGTTATCTACTTTAGACCACTCATATTTTGTTGGAAACTAGTTTGGCACTCGTTGTCCACGACTCGCGCTATGCCGGCGCCTAACCGTGGTATCGTTCCTATACCGAAGATGACGACGTGTTTGTCCACTAGATTATAGCGCCGTCTACTAACGCTGCGCTGCCGACTAGTTTATACTAAAGACGGCTCCGTGGCGCAGTGGCTTAGCAATGAATTGCAGCGCTCGCTAAGAATCGCGGAACAAGTATTTGTATGACCTACAAATAATTGTTTCGGATCTGTATGTTTGTCTTTGTGAATTTCTCCTATATCGTAGAAGGCGAATTTCCTAGCATTAAAAAATGTTTGACTTTGATATGCTCGATATGCAGCGGCTATTATTACTGAAGACGACGGTATATTGTTGCTAATTAGCATAGTGCAGATTTCTGTACCAACTTTTGTAGTAACCTACAACTGTGTAGAATATCAACTGTTGTAATTGTAAAATGTTAATATAACTTCTTTGTATTCAGATCGTGGCTACCCACTCATTTGCATGAATAAATGCGAGTGCAGTCCGTGTTCAAATTGAGCGAATGTAAATGCTCTAATTTTGCAATGATAAATATACTTTAATTAAATTATATAAATAAATTCAATCGCTGTTTTTAATAATAAATCTTGGAATTCTTAAATCAATTACATTACTTATGTGGTGACACATTATCTTTGTGATAAAAATAAAACATAATCCAATATAGCAACATCTCTATTCAGTCAGTCAGCACCCTTAACCATTAGGCTACTGTTGCTTAATAGAGTATAAATTATTCGGAAGTTCTAAATCTATGAGGAGAATATATATATATATATATATATATATATATATATATATATATATATATATATATATATATATATATATAATGAAGCATACTATATAATATTCGCTGCTGCTATTAAATTCTGAACGTGAAATACTGAATTACTGTATTATTATTTATTAAACAAACGACATTGTTCATTAATTTTATGAGGAAGACTATTGCCCATCCATCATACCTGATTTTTTGTTAAAAGGAATGTCATTTTGGCTTTGCCACTTTTCACAGGATTATTTTTTGTGAATTTTTAAATTACAACCGCGTCGATGATTTTTTGCGATTCCCATTTCTCGCTATAGATAATAATGCATATATTATGAATCTCGGGTTAAATAGGATACGTCCCTCTAGATGCAAGTCGTATGCAACATGTCTACATCGCGTAGGATTGACACGAAACAAAAACATTGTTGGATTATAAAAATAAATAGGTGCTGAAATGGTATGTATATTAACCGATGGTGACGTCTGACGTAACGCTGGATGCGTTCCAGTTTGACCCGAGTTGTTATAACACATAATATGCTTTGCAGTATGTTTTTAAGGTTGGGGAATTTCTTCCCAAACTATCTTTAGAGCGGACTTCAGCTCACGGAGTCTCTGGCGGGTTTTGCTGTGTTCTGATCCGCCTCTTGACCAAGTCCCAGACATGTTCTATAGGATTCATGTCTGGGCTGCGAGCAGGCCATGTTAGTTTTCGAATACCGACAGTAGTCAGGTACCATTCGACGATGCCAGCGACGTGAATAGTTACGTTATCGTGCATTAGCAAGAAATCGTCTTGACCAATGAAGTCCACGAAGGGCACAACATGATCTTGAATGATTTCTTCAATGTACCTGGGTGCTGTTAGGCGCTGATCTACGATGACCAGCTCCGTGCGGGCATCCGAGTATATCCCACCCCACCCCATACCATGACAGACCCGCCTTGGTAAATTACGGTTTGGCGTGTCGTGATAGGAAGAAAACGTTCTCCCCGTCGTCTATACGCGCTCTCACGACCATCTGGTACTCGTAAGGCTACTCTGCTTTCTTTTCTACCGACTTCAAAAAGGAAGAGGTACTCAATTCGACTGTATGCTCTTTTTTATGTATGTAAAGCTGGTGTTCCTCATGTGGTCCCATATAAACCTGATCAAGGTCTGACTAATAGTTTTTGAGAATCCTCAATAATTTATATTGAAGTCGGTTGTACAAAATTTTAAATTATGTGAATAACACTGCTCCATTGATCGTTGGTCCAATTCACATGTTCGCGCGTGAATCTTAGTCTCACCACAACTCGTTGGTGTCTCTCAAGTTCAAGTCCTCGTGCTGGTTCTTCTGGCACGTAAATCGCGTCGCTCCATCCTTCGCTACTTGAACTCAACTGCGGTGAGGTATTGATTTCTTATTACAGCCAGTATGATGAACCTATCGTCGTCGCAGGCAAAGGTGCACCTTATTATGCCCCTTACTGATCGCCGTGTGTGTAGACCAGTCTCTCGGTGCCTCTTGAGAGCGCACATTGAGAATTAAAGCCACAGCACGTTGAGTTGGTCCGTTAACAAAACCGTCTGAGCAACTCAAGCAGCAGTTTGTGGCATCTTTTAATCTTTTCTGAAAACGCAATAAAACACAACTCAATAAAAAAAATATAAAAATTAAGTTTAAACCAGTAAAAACATAAAAATACATACTTATTTACCTTGACGGCTAACTTTTGGAACAGTTCTGTCTATTCTTTTCAACGTAACTGGTAAAATTAAAAAATTTGTACAACTGACTTCAATATAAATAAAATAAGAACATCATCAATATAGTCGAAGTTTCGCATTGTTAAGGATAACTCAAAAATTACGGGTCAGATCAAGATCAAATTTATGTGGGACGTGAGATGCACCAGTTTTCAGATAAAAAAAGAAACATCAAAATCGGTACACCTACAAAAAAGTTATTTTTTTATAGGATAGGGTGGACAAACCAGCACACAGTTCACCTGATGGTAAGTGGTTGCTGTGACCCATAGACATCTACATCTATCCTCAATAAATAATCAAAATGCAGATGATTTGTCACCCATTGAGGACTAAGATGGAATGCCTCTTTTCCAGTAATAAGGGTCTCCGGTTTTCTACACTCACCACACGAAACACGGCAGTGTTAAGCTGCTATTTAAGCTGGTATTCTGTGAGAACGTGGTCCTTCCCCGGTCGAGCCGACCCACTCGTCCTACAACTATACTACTAATATAGCTGCAGCATGGCTCTACCATGTATATGGTTAAAAAAATTCAAACTTCAACCATTTTAATCTCAAATTATCCACTTCATTAAATAAAACAGTCCACTCGACTCCTACTTCCATTTAAATATCTCTTAAATAATGCTTAGTTTGTTGACCAATTTGCGATAAGCCTTTGGGCCACTTTATACCTTTGAGTGTATGTACCTACATTCGACATGATATTAAGTCAAAGTAAATCTGACATAAATTTGAAAAAATGTTGATCTGATTAAGTCGAAAGGCGCTTAACCATAGCAAAGTACTTATCGCAATTTATTTTAGAACGTCCTTTGTTATAAAAACAGTTACACAATCGGCTTACGTGCTGCTACGCCCTTATTTTCCAGGGCTTCGATGATATCTGCTTATGTCGCTTTAATTAACGGCCGTTTGGTTCAGCCGATGTGTACGCATATTGTATACCACGTGACATAGTAATCAGTGTAATTGATTGAATTCCATTCAAAGCTAATATTTAGGCAACGAAGATATTATTGGGTTTTTTTTGTAGGATATTTGACAAACGAGCACACAGTCCACTCCACCTGATGGTAAGTGGTTGCTGTGGCCTATAGATATGTACATATATCCTGGATAACGAATGCAAATGCAGATGCGTTGTCACCCGTGAGGACTACCTGGACTGCCTCGTTTCCAGTAAAAAGGGTCTCCGGTTCTCTACACTCAACATACGAAACACAGCAGCGATAAGTGGCTATTTTACGCCGGTATTCTGTTAAAGCGTGGTCCTTCCCCAGTCGAACCGACCCATTCGTGCTACAAATATACCAGTAATAAACCACGGTTTTACCGATACGTTCATAGAATAGTGTAACTCTACAAGATCCATGTCCAAGAGTGGACAATTAAGATTTATGTTATTGTCTAATAATTGTTGCTTAAAAGGGGCCTTAAATTAGAAGGAAACGTTGTGAAACTTTTAGATTGTATAATAAGGTCTGATTCATATTTACAAACATACTTTATCAAATGCTAATATTACACACGATATAATACATGAGTTAAAGTATATGTTTAATAATCTTTGGCTACGGATCCCTGATTCAGTAGTGTGTGCTGGTGTCTTCAAATTTTCATAATTTCTATCTTCATTTTTAAAGAAAACTAAACATGAAACAGATGTTACAAATATGCAGACGTATCACACCGTTGTTCCACACACCCCTTTATATAAAGTGCCGTTCCACTATAATAATATGTCTAGACCTAAGCAATTGTTTAATATCGATAATGTTTAATTTTCAGGCCCCTAGTGGCGTTATTAGACGGTCGCGATTGCACCGTCGAGATGCCAATACTGAAGGATGTCGCGACAGTCGCGTTTTGCGACGCCCAGTCCACGTCGGAGATACACGAGAAGGTGCTGAACGAGGCTGTAGGGGCACTGATGTGGCACACTATCATTCTCACCAAGGAGGACCTCGAGAAGTTCAAAGCGCTGAGGATCATAGTGCGCATCGGTTCCGGCGTGGACAATATAGATGTCAAAGCGGCCGGAGAACTGGGTGAGTTAGGTTTAGTTCAACTTAGATGTATTATAGAAAATACTCCTTGTATTCTTACAGAAGTTTCCAATAACGAGCTTTTTTTTTTTTTCGAAATAATAAAAGACTTCGATCCGTGTGCATTTCACACCCTAGCTTGCCACTGTATATAAAAAAGTATTCTAATAGTAACTTGTCTTGGTGCTCAAGACTTCAATTTCACTACATTATAAAGATACAAATCCTTCAAAAAGATATCATATGTTAATTGTTACTGGCCTACAAAGAAGAATTTAATTTTTCATCAGAACATAATGGTCCACTGTAGGGCCTCCCTATGTTTAAACGATTTGCCTAACTTTACGCTTGGCAGGCGGAATTTCGATTGTAGATCTAAACATCTAGCGCCTTTAATATTACTCCCTGGTAGAGGTCTGTATGTTTCTTTCTGACTTATGAAAACTGTTTTTCGCCATCCATCTGACTGCATGAAATCTTTCTCGTAATCGCCTCTTACGAAACGCACGGGAGAAAATAAGTTGATAGATTATTTATCGCCACATGAGAAAACTTAATTATATTTAAAAAATACATTCTATTATATTCTTGCTACTTGAAAAAAAATTAGCAATGCTGTGGTATGTACAAAATAGACATCGAATATAGTGAGACAAAGCCAAATATTTACCTAATATTTGTAGTGTTTTCATTAAAAATTCACACTAAAAACTTATCCATGTAGGTACTTAATGAATTGTAAAAAAAACATTCTAACAACAAGTGATCACTAGTACCAAAGAAAGTTTGCTGTTTTTAATTCCACTTAAAACTGTTGTACCCAAATTATTTGCATAAACTTTCAGGTATAGCCGTATGTAACGTTCCGGGTTACGGTGTTGAAGAAGTGGCTGACACGACGATGTGTCTCATATTGAACTTATACCGGCGGACATACTGGCTCGCGAATATGGTGCGGGAAGGAAAGAAATTCACAGGTAATTTTGTTAATACATGTCTGCTTTAGCTATGCCTTTTTAAGTTAAAGTATTTTATGAAACTGTGTACTGTAATGTTAACAAGAAATTTAAGTTATTTGCAAACTAACAAATTAACTTACTATTTTAACATGCAAAATGAACACAGAAGCATTGAAAGTTTCTTGCACACTTTGCCATTTACCTTATATACAATGGATTACAAATAAAATTAATAATTATTGAAGCAAAGTCACTACTAACATATTGCAAACGAAAATATTTATAAAATGGATGTGATTATCCTGTGTATACTACTCGTAATTAATAATATAAATGCTTATAATTTACTATTATTTAGGTATGTTAAGCTGGAATGGTCATTTGGGCAAAATAACTTAAATTTTTGCTAAATATTTAGTGCTCATTTAGTGCTAATTTAGTGCTGCAAATTTAAATTTCACGCCAAAATAGCTTGATCAAAAATGAGAAAACTGCTAGCTTTTAATTAAGCAAGCAGTGTTCTACCTATTAAAACGATAACCGCTTAATACAGCACCAAATAGAAGCATCAATAATTTAGTGCTCATTTAGTGCTGCCGATGTACGCAAAAACAAATATTGGGAAAATATGTATTTTTTTAATATCATAAATTCTGCTACTTTGACATCTTTAGCAGAGTATGTAATGAACAAATTGACATCCAAGTGGATTATCGTCTAATGATATGAGAAAATAATTTAGTGCTCATTTAGTGCTGCCGATATACGCAAAAAGAAAACTTGGAAAAATATTTTTTTTTAATATCATAAACTCTGCTACTTTGACATTTTTAGTAGAGTATAATGAAAAAATTACATCAGAGTGGGCTATCACATAATGATATAAGATAATAAATTAGTGCTCATTTAGTGCCGCCGATATACGGAACAGGATTTGGAAATTATTATTTTTAAATACCGTTAACTGCTACTTTGACATCTTTAGCAGAGTATGTGATGAAAAAATTGACATCAGAGTGGGCTATCACATAATGATATAAGATAATAAATCAGTGCTCATTTAGTCCTGTCGATATACGGAAATCGATTTGGGAAATTATTATTTTTAAATACCGTAAACTGCTTCTTTGACATCTTTAACATAGTATGTAATGAACAGATTGACATTCAAGTGGATTATCACCTAATGATATAAGATAATCATTTAGTGCTCATTTAGTGCTGCGGATATACGCGAAAACAAATATTGGGAAAATATATATTTTTTTTAATATCATAAATTCTGCTACTTTGACATCTTTAGCAGAGTATGTAAAGAAAAAACTGACATCCAAGTGGATTATCAACTAATGATATAAGATAATAATTTAGTGCTCATTTAGTGCTGCCGATATACGAAAAATCAAATATTGGGAAAATATGTATTTTTTTAATATCATAAATTCTGCTACTTTGACGTCTTTAGCACAGTATGTAATGAAAAAATTGACACCAGAGTGGGCTATCACCTAATTATATAAGATAATAAATTGGTGCTCATTTAGTGCTGTCGAATTACGAAAAAGGATTTGAGAAATTACAATTTTTTCAGTACATACGCTGCTAAATATGCCAAGGTCTGCTACCTTTTTTAGCAGCGTATTTTACGGTACTTAAAAAAAATTATATCTCAAATCCTTTTTCATATATCGACAGCATTAAACGAGTACTAATTTATTATCTTATATGATTAAGTGATAATTCACTTGGATGTCATTGTTTCATCACATACTCTGCTAAAGATGTCAAAGTAGCAGTTTACGGTATTTAAAAATAATAATTTCTCAAATCCTTTTTCGTAATTCGACAGCACTAAATGAGCACCAATTTATTATCTTATATAATTAGGTGATAGCCCACTCTGGTGTCAATTTTTTCATTACATACTGTGCTAAAGACGTCAAAGTAGCAGAATTTATGATATTAAAAAAATATATATTTTCCCAATATTTGTTTTTGCGTATATCGGCAGCACTAAATGAGCACTAAATTATTGATGCTTCTATTTGGTGCTGTATTAAGCGGTTATCGTTTTAATAGGTAGAACACTGCTAGCTTAATTAAAAGCTAGCAGTTTTCAAATTTTTGCTCAAGCTATTTTGGCGTGAAATTTAAATTTGCAGCACTAAATTAGCACTAAATGAGCACTAAATATTTAGCAAAAATTTAAGTGATTTTGCCCAAATGACCATTCCAGCTTAACAGACCTCTATTATTTAATATTTCTTTACTAGATAATGTAATCTTTTAAACTTATTGTAATAATGTTACAATAATTAATTAATAACTATGCTTAGATGGGCAATACTTGTGATTAACTAGCAAGCAAATGACCCATGAGCATTAGTTATTGTTTAGGTGAAATAATCTTTATTATTATAACCTAATAATCGAAAGTATTTTAGGTATCAGTTTAGTTACTTGGTTACTGATAGTAGTGGCCATCACTCGTTTTTAATATCAGTCGATTGTAGTCATTGTTTATGAGAATATATAAAGTGCTTTTTGGGGTTGCCCCTTCTTAGCCAAATAATGTATGCCATCAAAAACACAAATTGTAAAAAAAAACCAAGTCTCGCAACTCAGTTCTTCTACCGTAAATAGTTACGATATCCATGTAATACCAATTCAGTTAATATACTCAGCCCCTACTTAAAGGTCCTTCTGTCTCAAGTTATTACGTAATTAGCTAACCTAACAACATCTTATAGTGACCATATCAATATTAAAAATCTTTTATATTTTAAATAAAAAGATTGACTTGGGCATCGCATGAAAACACAATGTATCTTACAAGTAATACATATTATATTAAATTAGATTGTTTAGATGTTGTATATAGGATGTATACAGGGTATTTTTGGAACGCTCCCGAAAACTAAGACAGGCGACAACACCAAGTATACCTTTGATCATGGGTCACAAATAAATTCGATCCTGATGAAAAAAAAATCATCTTTTTACAACGTTTTATTAGCTTTATTCACGCGCCATCATGTTAGTACAGCTAAATGAAACGATAATTTCATAAAAAATATCATGAAAATACTGAAACATAAAACCAGCAGTGGAATTACTGAATTGATATCACCTGATCAAAGGTCAATGTACGCGCGAACGCAAATTCGCGCGGCCCGCAACTAGCGGGCCATACCACAATACCTAATAATTTACAACACTTGTCTAAATACCTAACTTATCTACTTAACCTACTATTTTGCCACTGTGCTTGTCTCCACGTAGCTACTTTAATCCGAATTTACAGGTTAAATAACCCAAATAACTGGTTCGATTCCCCGCTAATGAAAAAATACTTAAATGAAATGTAACCAAGGTTGGAGTCATGCGTTTTTATTCATCGTGTAGGTATGTTTATTATTCTCATTTATTCAGTTATGTACCTATTCAGATTAGTCTAGTACTAAGTTATTTACACACGTTGTTGCTGGTAACCAACGGCAGAAAACTCGTCGGCGGTAGTGATCGCCGGGAACTAAAGCTTGCACTTTGTGCAATTTGTATGGGCGCATTCGGTTACGCTTCGACACTTTGTGCACTGCACAGTATGATACACTTGTTCCATCCCGACGTCTTAACAATTTATTTAGCGATACTTCGTGTACCTAGGTTCGGATACCTAACATGTTGCCGTATTCACAATCACTATAAACGTACGCGTTAAGCATTATTAAAACAAAAAACGTAACAACAAGAATAATACCAACACGTAATCACAAGTAATAACAATTTAATAAACGTACGCGTGTACAAAATCAACATGGATTTGTTTCAAAAACTATAATTAATAACGAACCCCGACAAAACTGAAACCTACTGCGTCACAGCGTAAGGCGACACAAGCCGGCCGGGTTACATTCTGCCGTCATAATAAAGAAGGACGCAACTAACAAAAACGTAAAATGGAAATAAAAAATAAATTGATGAATTTTTCTTTCAGACCCTGTGTCTAAAGTATATTAAAAGGTATCTATATGAAAATTGAAATATATACGTAGAGACATGAAGATTTTAAGGACGAACTTATTTTTTTTTTGATAATTTGTTTATTTATTTAAATAAAACGAATTTTCCTCTTCATCTTAGCTTAAAAAATACACCTGGCAACACAAAAACATCGAAGGAAAGACGCATATAACTATTTGCGTCTTCCCAATCTAATAAATAAAAAAACTGCCATTCATTTAACATTTTTACATATTTTGGAAAGGTCATTTGAAGTTGAAAGGACGCTAATAGTAATTTACTACTTTTTTCTTAGTAAATATTAGAAAAGCATTGGTAGTGAGACACAAAAAATAACAACCCGCAACTCTTGAGTAATGATTTTAAAGGGGATATCATACAAGACTTACTACGATAATAATTAAAAATTTAAAATTTTGTACAACCGACTTTAATATAAATAATTAAGGATAACTCAAAAACTATTGGTCTGACCTCGATCAAATTTATATGGGACCACATGTGAAACACCAGCTCTTAATAATAAGATATAAGCTCTTAATAATAAGATATAGAATAATAAGAAAAGAATAATTGAAATTTAAGTAATCGATGCAAATATTGTTAAAGATGACGTAGCAACTGGTTAAATAAGTCTTTTCTTTTATGTTGAATTTGTATAAGTCTTTTCTACTAAAAAAATTAAGGTTAACTCAAAAACTATTGGTCTGACCTCGATCAAATTTATATGGGACCACATGTGAAACACCAGCTCTTAATAATAAGATATAAGCTCTTAATAATAAGATATAGAATAATAAGAAAAGAATAATTGAAATTTAAGTAATCGATGCAAATATTGTTAAAGATGACGTAGCAACTGGTTAAATAAGTCTTTTCTTTTATGTTGAATTTGTATGTCTTTTCTACTAAAAAAATGTCATCTGTGATCAACAGTTACGTCTAAAATTCTTACGATAATTTCTAAAATATTGATATTTAATAATTAAAAGTAG